GTTGGAGCTGGAGAGGGCAAGGACCGGGGATTGGGGATATGGTGGTGCTGGAGCTGGGAGGCGAGGGACAGTGGGGCTGGGGGGGCTGGGGATGTCTGAGCTGGGGGAGTGGGGACAGGGAGCCCTAGGGGACAGGGAGCCCTAGGGGACAGAGACCATGAGGACAGCGATAGGGAAGAGGGGACATAGGGGTCACAGAGCAGATGAGAGGGGGACATGGAGGTGGCGGGGCCAGGGGGGATGGGGATAGCAGGGACAAGGACAGTGGGGACAAGGGTGGTGGCGTGGGGATAAGGACAAGGCTGGGGGTACAGGGACAGGGAGGGGACAGGGGAGGACGGGGACAGGGCTGATGCCAATGCAGGTACCCGCACGCCTGGGAGCTGCCGACGCTGATCCGGGTGAGCATCGAGAGTGGGCGCATGACCCACCACCACCCCACCGGTGGGTGCCAGGCAGGGGGGGAGAGGGGAGCAGGAGACACTGGAGCCCCTCTGAAACCCCTGTCCCCGCAGGGTACCTCGGGGCGCTGGCGGTGGCCCTCTTTGGGGCGCTGGGGGCTCGGGGGGAGCCCCCAGAGCGCTGGGGGGCCGAGCTGCTGCGAGTCCTGCCCCTCGCATGGGACTACGTGGAGGGTGCCGGGGTGGCCGTGGGGGACAACGCTGCCGCCTGGCCCTTCTTCAGGGATGCCTGGCACCGGTGAGGGGGTACTGGGAGGGTTCTGTGGGGTCACTGGGAGCACTGGGAGGGGTTGGTGAGATTACTGGGAGGGGTTCAGGGGGTCACTGGTGACACTGGTGCCCGCAAGGCTCTCTCCCAGTCCTGTCGGTGCACTGTACTGGTGCCACTGGTGTCACTGCTCTGCCCCAGTGCCTGGATGGTCCCAGTGTCCCCTGCCCCACTCCCACTGGCGTCACTGCTGACGCTGGCGCCCAGCCTGTCTGCAGGGTCACCGGTGCCCATCCTGCCCCCAGTGTGCCCCTGTCCCCAGTGTCCCCACCAGTGCTGCCATCCTCAGCTGTGGGAATGTGGCCCAGGGCCACCCCACACCCCCACTGACCTCAGTGTCCCTGGTGTCCCTGGTGCTCTTGGTTTCCCTAGTGTTACTGGTGTCCCCGCTGCATCCACTGCCACGGTACCCCCAGGTGTCCCAGTTGTCCCCAGTGTCCCCACAGGTACCTGGTGTCACAGGGACTGCTGGAGAGCCACAGCCCGGTGACCCCCCAGTGTCACTGGTTACCCCATTGTCACTGGTGACACCAATGTCCCCAGTGTCCCCAGTGACACCAATGTCCCTTGTGACTCCAGTGTCCCTATGTCTCCAGTGTCCCTGCTGACCCTGTTCCAATGTTTCACCACTCTTTCAGGAAAAATTTCTTTACTGAAAGAGTGGTGAAACATTGGACCAGGCTGCCCAGGGAAGTGGTGGAGTCCCCATCCCTGGAGGTATTTAAAAGACAAGTAGATGAGGCACTTAGGGACATGGTTTATTGGACATGGTGGTGTTGGGTTGACGGTTGGACTCGATGATCTTAGAGGTCTTTTCCAACCTCAATGATTCTATGATTCTATGATCCTATGACCCAGTGTCCCTGGTGACCCCAATATCCCCAGTGACCCCAGTGTCCCCCTGTCCTCAGTGACGCCAGTGTTCCCAGTGACTTCAATGTCTCCATGTCCCTGCAGGTACCTGGAGTCTCGGGGGCTTCTGGAGGGTCGTGGCCCACCGCAGGTGCCATCCCTTCCGTCACCGGCCGAGCGGGATGCAGTGTACCTGGGCTGGGCACTGGAGGGGTGGCCAGGGCGCAGCGGCCATGACGCACCCATGGTGGCCCTGGAGGCCTTGCTGGCAGCCGGTGGATGCTGGGGGGACCTGTGTGCCAGGGGGGTGCTGCATGGTGGGGACAGCGATTCGACGGGGACCATCGCCGCTGGGTGCTGGGGGCTGCGGGGGGGGCTGGCACCCATCCCCCCTGGGCTGCACTGCTGCCTTGAGCACCGTGGGCGGCTGCGCGATGCCGCTCACCGCCTCCACGCGCCGGCCTGGGGGAGGCGCTG